AATAGAGGTAATTTTCTTGTCCCAGTCCTGTTGGTTTCTGGAAACCACCAACGAGAGGTTATTAAAGATGGTTCGATTAAACTGCGTTCACGCGTTCGCGCGTAAAGCGTTAACCAATCAGAAGCGAGTTCAGAGGCGGCATTTGCCGGATGGCCGGAGACCGCGTGAGTTGACTCAACTTCAACTTCTTGACGCTTGACGCGTCAATTTCAGGCATCTTGTTTCAAACGTCCAGTTTATACCATGGTTTTTAAACGATTGCACTTTCAAAAATTCTTCTTGATGGAAAAAAAAGACAAATGAACTAATCTTAATAAAAATTTGAGATTAAATTTAAAAAAATGCATACGCTAATAGAATAAATTATTTAGAGGACAATTCTCAAGTTTATTAATAGTAATAAACTTTAATAATCAACCATAAATGATATATGGTTGATAATTTTTACAGAATAATCAATTGTTGTAATAGATTGTTGCGAGAAAATAGTGATGGATTTCGAAATCTCACATTCTGAATTATTTCTTAAAATATATCTGCATCAGTTTAAAGTTGATCTTGTTGCCTAGTGGATAAAACGTTGGCTTCTTGAGTTAAAGATTTTGGATTCAAGCGTCACTAGAGGGGTGTTGTAATGGAATTGGTATTTTTAAAAATGTATTTACAGAAAATATTATGGCTAGTTTCAGAGTAGCTCAGATGCTTCTTTAATTTCTTGAAGGTGAAGTGTGAAAACGATGCTACCCGCAAGGTACCTTAGCGCGGAGGTAACATGCTCAAGTAAAAAATTCAGCTTTTACTAGAAGATTGTATTGCAGGTTTGGTCCTTGCTTTTTTCTACCTTTGATGATGATACGAATATGCTTTTTTTATTTAATCTACCGCGACTTTTTTTTTCGGGGGGGTTACACAAGAAACTTGCACTTAATTTTCTCTCTCTTCTACGTCTCTGCTACCTTCCAAAGTCTTAAATTTGTTTTCTATTACGCTGGTAATTTCTCTTTTGGACTAGTCCCTAGTCCCTGCACTACACCTTTCTGTAACTCTCCCTCAGATACATGAATTAAAAACACTGTAATTCGCTTATTAATTGAGTTTAATTGGCTTTTATATTCCTCTGATTTCAGTCTAACGGTATAGTTGTCTAACCTAATTTTTCAAACTTTCCTCGCAGATACCTATTTCTACGTTAAGTTAACCACCTACAGGCCTATCCTCCACTTTTTTTCTTTATAGCCCAAAGAGTGTTAGCCCAGAGGAGTTATTAATTTCGTTTTGGCATTTTGCGTCGGTTCGCTATAAAAGTCTGAATCGTTTTTTAAAATTGTTGCCACCAAATATTAGAGCCTTGCATTATATTTAAAGAAATTAAATAATGAAGAATCAGCATGAACGTATGTATGTTTCTCGCATCGTGAAAAAACAAAGGAACCTGGAGACATCAAATTCTGAATAACGTAGCCCTCCACTCGAATTATGGGCATCTGGAAGCCCAAATTTGGAATTTGGAATTAGTTCTATTTCATGTTTTGTAAAACTTAAACGAATGATTAAAAACTCAATGATTTCAAAGAGTTTCATTAACATTAACATTACATGCATCTTCAAACACGGATATTTTATGCGGGAGATTTCTTAACATTTCTTACTGGTATTATGTTGATAGCGTAGCAACGAAAAGACTTAACAATGTCTAACGGTATTTTGCGTCGAATATCGGTATCACTTTTCAAACCCTGTTTCCAATACCCCGTGAAAAAAACGCCATTTTGTGCGTAAAATAAAATCTGAAAACTTTCAGATTTTTTTATTGTTTTAATTCTTTTTTATTTTGTTTAATCCATTAATTGAACTTAATTAATATATCATTTCTCAATTAACACGGCCCTATTTAACGTAGCCTCTTCAAACCTCGTCCGTTCTTCTTCTCACATAATTTAGTGTATCTTTTTCTTAGTGTTAACCATCCTATACTCATCTCTAGACTGAGTTTAATTAACATTTTATATCTCGTTTAACTGTCTTCTAACTAAAGCAACTTCTTTAAACAACTTGCTTTTGACTTTTGTTATGAACCTACATCTTTTGGCACCTCTCTTATTTTTCCCTCTCCAAACCTAAATTTAACTAGCTCTTTAATTGGACCTAATTAACAATTTATTTCTCTTATATCTTGTTCCCTTGTTCATGCATCTGTTCCGAACAAGGCTCAATCTTTTCCTCAACTACTAATACTTCTTTTGTCACCACGTTAGTCAACTTCGCTCTCCTCCCCAGTTTTAACAGTAATTAATTGACTTTGATTAATTGGTTTATATTTCATTTTTCTTATATCTCGCCTTCTTATAATGCAGCTCTTCAAATAACTTGCATTAATCTTCCCTTGTAATTCCCCATCACCTGGTATTTCTCACTCTAAATTTAATTTTAATTAATTTTATTTGGTCTTTAATTAGCAACTTCTTAGAGTTCTGGGCACTCATCAAAGCCATTATAATATTTTGTCATTCTCTTGAATTCTATCACAATTTTGCCAGTGCTTAGAACGCCTTTTCTCTGTTACAAGTGTTTTCAAGCAAGCAGCTTCGTGCATAATTACTGCCATATTAGTTATAACATCTAAGTAATATGTTATTCTTAACTTTTCATTATTTTGCAAGTGTTTAGAATATTTGTTCTCAGTTATAAGTGTTTCATGTGTCTTGGTGCATACCTGCTATCATAATAGCTCTGAATAATAATTTGCTCTGTGCACAGAATTTTGTATTATAACCTCTCCCAATTCCACTTGAGCATACAGACTAAGCACGCTAGCACGGCAATTTAATTTGAGTTCAGTGTTAACTCAAGAACTTCCGATGCAGCATGACTGACATGGACTCATCGATTCCCCGCAAGTTCCTCAACATTAATTTCCTCTTGAATTCGGAGTCACTTTCATATAAAGGAAAGTTACTAGCTCTCCACGAAGAGTGCCGTGAAATTATCATAAGGGCTAACAGAAATTTGTTTCCGCAAGGTTAGTTTTGTTCCCTATCTTGAAAATTTCGGAGAAGATTCCTAGATGAAGATACTTTTTGAATAAGTCTATAAGTAATCGGGAAGAGGCCTTTTGAATTAGTTTTATAATTTTGTTTTTTATCCCATCCAGTGATGGTGATTTTTTATTTGAAAATGATCATGTTATGTATTTCTATACAAAATTCGTTCTTCCTCTATATTTGGGATGCTATGATCTCTCTTGGCGTATTGTTTTCGAAAGAGAAACGCAACTATAAAAACAGAATCCACTATTTCTGTCAACGAAAAAAAAGGTTGCGTAGGTTTATGTCAGAACATGGAACATGAAAAATCAGTTATGTCCTTGACGGGATTCAAACTCAGGATTGCCCGATTGCTAGCTGAACGGGCTTCCAATTACATAACGAAGGCAGGCGGTAAGGAAGAAAAAAAAGTGCTCACTGTTCCCTCCCATTTAAAATGTGACTGGGGAGGAATGTCGCAGTCACCAGTTGCAAATAGTGACGAGCCATTGCTCATTTTTCTCTTCTGCTGTTTCGAAAGAACCTAATGACTTTACACCTTTTTCTGCTCTAAAGCGCAACACACTTGTATAATATCGAAGTTAACTGATAGAGAACGTTAGGAGTTTTGTAGCAAGAAGTGAGAAAAATCAGTCATGCCCTCTTTGGAATTCGAATAACGGATTTTCGCATTGAGAGTTTGCTGTTTATACCCGGACAGCAAACATGTGGATTGTGATAATTTATTTGAAGCCAGTTAAAAGGCAATTAGAGAAAGGCAATTATAATAAGGTATGCCCTCACCGGGATTCGAACTATGGTTTTGAGGCTGCTTCCTGTATTATAGTAGTTATATATACCAAGGTAACGCTCACGGGGTAACGCGATGATTCCTCATAAAATAAAAGATCTTATGCATTTTCGATAATTAACAACGTAGTCCCGTGTTTCTGATCATTAGGCCAGGAATCCTTCAAGAATTGCGACATTCTGGGCTATAAGTACGTTTTGCGCCCCGTATCAGTTAAACGCATTAATAGTAATTCAAAGTAAAGTATCTGTTTATTCAATATCACTTGGTAGAACAATTTAAATTTTAACCTCCGAAAATCTACATCCAATTACTTAGAGTAATAACCGTAAGAATAGAAATTGGTATAATTTTATTACTATAACCTTTATCTAATTATGTTTTTTTTGAAAGTAACTACACACAGAGCAAGAATAACTAGATCTAGAGAGAAAAAGGTGAGCGAGTACAACCCTCAACTATTCTATTCTCCCAAGTGAAACAGGAGTGTGAGTGGCAATTTCTTTACGTTGAAGTAAATATTGCAATTCTTTAGCGTCGTCATACTTTATGGCCTATTGTGGGTAATAGGAGAGCATCTTGAATGAAAATTTTCCGCTACACTCGTGACAGTGTCAAGAGTCAGTTGAATTACGTCTCATGGGTAGGGAAGTTCTAAGTTTTTCTTTTGACAGATAAAATGGCACCTCTCAAGACTAGCTATGAAGAGAACGTTTTTTCTCATCCTGTAAGTAAGTATAATGAAAGCTCAAAATTTCATTTATCGAGACTGCAGATACTATAATTACCGTTTGATTTATGAGTGTAATTTTTTTTTGCAAATGCCGTACATTCCTTTGAGAGGTAGAAATGTATAAATTATCTCAAGTTTCTACTAATTTGAATACAAATCATGATTACCCTCCTACGAATAAAAAGGAGTTACAATTTCATGCAAATATAATGCCAATACAGAGTGCTTTAAAAAGAAAACATTTTAGTTGCTCACAAAATCATTACTTGCACGCAGTATCGTAGATGGTCTGTTATATGTAATCTGAAGAAGATAAGAAGAAAGATTACATGCTCTAACACTCCGTTATTTCCAACCTGTTATCTGGATGCAGCTTTTCCTCTCCAATGAATCAGGCAAAGGTCAACTGCAGTGGTTTCGGCCTCCCTCGTCTCGCAACCGTTTGGCCCTTTATTATATGGACCCTTCGTTAACCCCATTCTGCCTGTGCTACCAGCTCATTATAAGAATTTCGGGAGCGATTGGCTGCAACCATGCATTCCATAACTCTTGTGTGATTAGAATACTAAGGCAAACGTATACATAGAATTTCATACATAGTAAGCATTTTCTCTTTTAATGTGTGACACATTTTTGCATTCATAATGTAAAAATTTTGCAATGAAGCTCTTTCTTTTTAAAACATCTACAGTATTGCTAAAAGGCTAGCATATATCTTTCGAGACATTAAGTAGTTAAAGTTGCATTTTGATACTTTTGAATCATAAGGCATTTCTCCCGCCTTCTTAGCATGCCTTCGTGGTTTAATGATCAGCACGCTCGGCGCGTATTCGAGAGGTCCGTGGTTCGACTCCCGACGAGGGCATTGCACATTTTTCATCTCTCCTGCTTTCAAAAAATACCTAATGTTTCTACAGTGTCGCCCGAACAAAAAAAAAAAAAAAAACGTGGTGGATGATTATTCTTCACCACCAGGGTTTGGCGGTTGGATCTCCTTTAAAAGTGGGAGTATATAAGGTATTTCTCCCGCCTTTTTAGCATGCCTTCGTGGTTTAAGAGTCAGCACGCTCGGCGCGTATTCGAGAGGTCCGTTGAGTCCGGTCGAGGGCATTCCTCGTTTTTCCTCTCTCCTGCTTTAAAAAATACGTAATGTCTCTACAGAATGTCCTGATTTTTATTGTAATTTTGTTCCTCATTTTACATACATTAATATATGCCTGTCTAAATTATAAATTGGAAAAACTATGAAACGAAAACTATTGTTTAAAAATTAAATTAAAAAAAAAACATTTGCAGGATATAATTGTTTAACCTAACTGTGAGACAGGGTTGCATGTATAATCTAAACTACGCTTTTTATAAGAAATTAAAAGACTGAATGTGATTGTCTTATTGTAGCAAGGTTTTATGTCTACGAGAAAGGATGCCTTTGAGAGAGTTAATTTTGGGAGGAAACCGTCTCGCTTTCGCACTGCATAGAAATGACAACGTAGTCAACCCAACCAACCTACTGAGATTCAAGCCAGTATCCAAGTCAAACGAAAGAAAGCAAATTCCTTCGTTTCCACAAAAGTGTCATTTTCGATAATGCACGGTTAACTCAAACATGAGTAACCAAGAAATAATCCTACCAAAATGTAACTTTTGAATTCCCCTACAACCTGTGAGAAAACCATTTTAATGTTAAGTACGAAGAAAAAAGCTGTATGCCGTGTCAGGATACTTTAATGTGTAACGTCAAATAACGCACTTTTATGCATACATAGTTTTGTTCGACTTGCCATTCTTTATCCATCTTATTGTTATAGATAAATCAATATCGAGCCCGAATGCATTTTTCTTCGAATATCATTTTATTTGTAGTAAACCGAAAGAATTTCGAAAAAGCAATAAAAAAAATGGCCTCGAAAATCTATTGCAAAACGATCTATGACAGTAAGTATTTTTTACAGATTATTCCTAGATGAAAGACAATATTTATTTAAAAATTAAGCGAAAATTTATTCCGCTAAGCAGATGAATAATTTGTGTTACGAGCTCAGTTATTATTCATTTTTAAGGAAAGAATATTTAACCCGGAAGTAAACTCAGACATTTGAAAATGCAATTGCGTCAACAGAGCTAGAATGCTGTCGAAATAGTTTTAAGAATAGCAGGAACTACAAGGAACGTTAACCCTTACAAATTATAAATTACAGCGATAAGCACGTTGAAGCGACAGGCGTGTCAGAGCCATAAGCACTTTCAAATTTAACTTAGGTATCAACGTATCTTATTTATACAGAATTTTTCAATGTCTAATTTTGCGTTAAATATCCAAAGGTATTTTAGCTTCCGAGGGCATGGGAATCGCTGTTTGAATTCTGGTTATCAGTTATGTATGTGTTAAACAATTTATCGAAAGCAAAGCATTTAGAAGACATACACATCAGCAATAAATTTGTTTGCGAAAAATCCGTTAAATATTACACTTTCTTCAGTTTAAAATTTAAATAGCTATGATCAAAACGATCTTTTTCACCTGTGGTATTTTTTTATAACAGCTTCTTTTGAAAGACGTCAGCTTTCTTTAGCAATTCTCAGCTGTGAGTTGATTGCAAAATATGCTTCCTCTTCTGAGACATAAATATATCATTGAAATGCCTTTTAGTATATGCACTAAGTGCATAAATGTTCTACCCTCATTTCTCAAGAACAACTGTAAGTGTTTGGCAGAAGGTGAGATGAAGATTGCACATCTTATCATCTATTATGACAATCTTGTGAGCTTTTGAATACCTGCTATCTCGTTTCTAAAAACTTTCTCATTATGAGATGCAGATTAGGCTCATAGATACACTTATCAGTTGAAGCTAATGAAAATGCTAATCACTGTCATCTTGCCAAATTCAAACTCTAATCGTTTGTGTGGCCGACTATGAATTTATTTGATTGGCAATATTAGGTAAGCATGACTAATTAGAGAATTCGTCTAACTTTCTCCAGTGTTTAAATGCTCAAACAAGACAACACCGATCATTTTTCATTACTTCTAAAAGAGATATCTATATCATTTGAAAAATTGTTTGTTATTATTTATTTAAAAAATAACTCCGTCAAAATTACATAAAGAGTGCATAACTTTCTTTCTCCAGCTTTTGCTGGCTGCTAAGTTGAAATAATATTATGCAGGACATGAGATTCTTCATTAGCTAAAATTTTTATTTCTATGCCACCAATCAGTGTCTTAGATATATATCTTATTCTTAAAAAATTTCCAATCATAACAGCTAAAATATTTCAGCATGTTTTCAAAACCATAATTAACACTTTTAAACCATGTTGTGTTTTCACCTTTTTTGTCAAACTTCATTCTAGAGAGGGAATTTTTTAACATGCGTAATATAACTTTGTAAAAGCTGTTACGTTTAGGAGAAAATCAATTGTGCCTCACCGGGGTTCGAACCACACATCTTCAAACGCTAACTAATAATTTATACCACAGAAGTCCACTCGGTGGATTGTCATAATTCCTTACAGCATATTTAAACGATTTAGCTATATTTTCTTCAACTATGCTGAAAAATAAACTAATTTTTTAATTTGTGACGACATGCGAAAAACGTGCTTGAATTAGTACTCAGCTCGAGCTCTACTTTAACAGCAAGTGGTTTATTACCGGAAAACGGAAAAATTCTACCTATTATGAAAATAAAAGCTTACATTTATTTCCATGAAAGATTTAATATTTAGTTATGGTTCAATTTTCGTTGAACCGTTTACTTTAAAAAATTTAATCTCTGAGTCTTCATATGGTTTTACTTTTTAACTTGTTCCTTGATTTCAGTATATTAGTTCTATGTAATGTCATTACTGTATAGTATAGGAAGATATCTTCCTATACTATACAGTGACTCCAATTTAAACATAAAATTAAATCAATAATTGACTAAGTATGATAAAATAAAGCGGAAATATATTTCATATATTTTGTACTTTTTTAAGAGTTCCTTAACGAAATATAGCCAGCAAACGATTTTATGTCAGAAATAAATACGTACGAGTTTAAATGTAGTGTTAAAAATAATCTAAAATATACCCTGAAGGGAGAAAGAATTCACAAGCATAATTTACGTTTAAAGTTGTAGAGACATTAGGTATATTTTTGGAAGCTGGAGAATTGAAAAATGAGCAATCGCCTTCGCCGGGAATCGAACCGCGGACCTCTGGAATACCGGCCCAGCGTGCAGAACAACTACACCACAAAGGCACGCTAGGAAAGCGGGAGGAATACCTCATACACTCCCCTTTTTAAAGGGCGAAGGGGGATTTTAGGGGACCCAATCGCCAAATACTGGGTGTGGAAAATCCTCATCCAACACCCTTTTAGTTCGGGTGCCACTGTAGAGACATTATGTTAATTGGAAAAGCCAGAGAGAAGAAAAATTAGCAAATGCCTTCGTCGGGAATCGAACCACGGACCTCTGGAATACCGGCCCGGTGTGCAGAACCAATACACCACGAAGGCTCGCTAGGAAAGCGGGAGAAATACCTTATAAAGTACATTCAATAGCTCTACTTAATTACATTAAATTTAACGGACCTGTAACCGAAAAACACTATTTATATATATACCAGAATAAAGGGTACTTTTCCTCAAAAGACCCTAGTTCATGTGGTGTGGTGTATTTAATTATGGCAAAGCACACTAGGGCTATCTGCCTAAGGAGAGGGATGCCTTCGTGGTAGACTTTCCAATTGAAACTGACTCGTATACACGTTACACATGGGGAAAACTACGAAAACGCTCATGCAGCCAGCCCGTTCGCGGGATTGGAACCTCGGACCGAACTACAAGTGTTCAGCGACTTTACCGCTCGGCCGCTGGTGCCCCCCCAGTTCATGATTTCTGTTAGACACTAAACAATAAAAACATAAAGCATTAAATGTGGCTGAGAAGAAGGTTGTAGAGACAGGTTATTTCGAAGCAGGAGACATGAAAAATGAGCAATGCTCTCGCAGGGAGCCGGAACACGGACCTCTCGAAAACGCGCCGAGTATGCTGACCGTTACACCACGAATGTGTGCTAAGAAGCGGGAGAAATACCTTATATAGTCCCCCTTTTAAAAGGCGACTGGGGATTAGAATACCCAATCCCCAAATCCTGAGGTGAAGAATCATCATCCACCAAATTTTTTTTAGTTCGGGCGCCATTTTAGAGACATTAGGTTAACATGAAAAATGAACAATGCCCTCGGCGGGACTCGAACCTCAGACCTCTCGAATACGCGCCGAGTGTGCTGACCACTACACCACAAAGGCAGGCTAAGAATGCGGGAGAAATACCTTATAAAGTAGCTGAATGAAATTTTGCATATTTAAAATTAGTTTTACTTTTAGTTTTAATTTTAAGAATTATTTTCACGTCAATTTTTTAATGAACATTAAGAACAATTTTCGTATATTTAGAAATAGTGATAATTGATCCATCCCTTCTTTTTCAGGAATTATTGCATCTTATTACTTTAAAAATAAATTTAAGGCAATTAAATATTCCCGGAATGAAACTCTAATATAAACATTATAGGACAGTCTCGGAAGGAGTGAATTCATTTAGTT